TCACACATGTCTGTAGGAGCATGAATGAGAGTCTTTCTTATCGTCTGCGGTCCAGTGTGAAGAGGGCCTGGGTCTGGGACGCACTGATCTAATCCTTTCAAACCTGTCCAGCCTGTGTGCCCAGGGACAGCAGGGAAGGAGCCGGGGTTATACTTGAGAGAATGTGTGACATCGTTTGGAACACTGAACTTAATATCCCTTCCTGACTTAGAATTGTGGGATATCAAAGTTACAAACGGATCTTGAAGTTCATCTATCCAGATCCTCTTAAACAGACGAGAAAACTCAAAGCTGAGCAACTTATCCACAGTTCCTCGGACCGTGCCTAGCCTGCTTTCTGCTTCACAGTTTTAGTTCCTGCAGAACACAGCACTCAGAGTCACGGTGAGACTCGAGTGGAGTTCATCTTCCCTTCTCTCTCTGGGTCTTCTTATCCATCTAAATGGTGACTTAATGCACAATTCTGCTGAGCAAAACCATGGACGACGTGCCATTAGCCCTGAACTCCTTAAACTGGCATTCACAACCTTGGCAGTTGGCACCGAGCTGAATTTCGCCTAGGTCTGCTGCCATTCTTCTCTACATCCTCCCTACGGCAGCCTTGCCTCCTGTGTTTCTGCACACTTGTATTATCCTTTTGTTCCTTTGCATATACTCTTCATCTGAAATTGCCTCCCCGATGTTTTGACCCATGTTCTTTCTTGCCATCCATGTGCACCCAGCCAAGCTCCAGCCTCTACCTCAGCACTGCTATTACTACGCAAAGGGCTTATTCATGGCCATGGCTTAACTTTCCTGCTAGAGGGAAAGCTCCTTGAGAGGAGGAGCCACGTAGCCCAATTTTCTGAATGGCAAACTGTGCTCCAGAAAGATGTACGTTAGAATAAATGGCACCCTGGTTTCCATGCATTCCAGGCAGTTCTAGAATTTGGGGAGGTGCCAAGGGATGTGAGGTCTGTGGAAAGGAAGAACGGACATGGTGAAGTCAGGACAGCCTTGCGTTTCCAGGTATCCTGGCTCCACGGTGTGACGCCTGTGGCATCTTCAGATGTCCATGCAGCATCCTCCTGGCACTTGTTTTATTTAGTACATTGTAGAGAAGTTTCCCTGGGAGTTTCTTTGGCAACCCTCGGGTGGCTTTGGACCAGACTATTTTGTCACCTCCTATAACTTACCCTTCGGGGGTTTCAGGACTGTGCTGTCTTGCATTTCCTCTTCTTGAGATATTCTGCTAAAGCCCAGACCACAGTGATTACACAGATTTTCCAAGTTCTGATCTCAGTCCTGTTGGGGAAGAAATTGACATTTACTGTGCCCTGTGTGGTTTTTCATTAGTTGACCAGGCCAGACATAGCATAAGTAAATAAGTTCCTGTTTAGATTTGAGCTCTTCCATGTCAGTTCTGCCAAGAGAGGGGGAAAAATCCAAGAAGAAGCTATCATTGTCTAATTATCTTGAAACTAAACATTGATGATGCTCTTGGCAGGCAAGGTGGCCTCTTTCCTTCCCCTTTCCCCTCTGTGGTGAGTCTATCTGGGCAAAATCATGATGTCCCCATTGGAAGGATGGACATGAATAACCCACAAAGGGGTTTGGTGGGCGGGCCTGCAAGGCAAGGCCTCTGTGCTAGCAGCCCACTGACCCACGGGTGGGTGCACTTGGTCCATCCTCCACTGCATCTGTGATATCCTAGGTGCCCCCACTCCGAGGATGGTGTGGCAGAACATCTTCCTCCTCTGAAGGGGTCTTGGGCTGCTTATGGATATGGGCCTTCTTTTTGAGCCGATGAAGGTGTTCTGAACTTAGGCCATGGTGAAGGTTGTTCAATGTAGTGAATGATAGACCTCAAAAGGGTGAATTTATGGCATGCAAATTATATCTCAATTTTAAAAGAAGTCATGGCATACTAAGACCTCATGCAAAATAGTGTGACATAAAAGATCCTGAAAGACCGTGTGACCTCTGCTGGCATTTCCTCTGTGAGAACTCTGAGACCAGCTGCCTGCTGGTTGTGTTGGGGGTGGAAGGGATCTAATAGTTGGGCCATCTCAGTCCCTGTTCTGTGTCACACTGGGGTGACAATCCAGGTATTTCCTCGTTTTTGCTTCCCTAGTCATAAGAGAGGTAATGGGCCTGGCCTACTTGATGAGGATCTCCTGGGAAACAGAAATCCAGTTTGTTAAGTGATTTGGAGGCAGGAGGCCCTAGATCCTCCTCAGTGGTCACAGGAAGGGCTCAGTGGCACTCAGATAGGTGTGGGATGTGTCCCAGGCAGTGTGGGCCGGTGCAAGCAGGAGGCTGGATGCGTGTTGCTCTGGGTGATTTAATCGTGCCTTGGGTTCTCTCTTCTGAGCTGGGCTGCTTATGTTTTGTTTTGTTTTGTCTGTGATAAGAGGAGACAGCTTGGTTTCTACTGTACTGCACAGCAGGACCTATGGGGGTGGGGCATTTCTCTCCTGGTGCTTGTGAAGGCCTGAGGACTGGTTAGAAGGGTCAGAGTCCAAGTGATTGTGGCATCTGTGCTGAGGATTTGCAAGGTAGCTGCTGCTCCAAATACCCACCTTCCTGAGGGTTTCTCCCCACCTGGAAATCAGGAAAGCCTCCTCAGGGGAAAGATGGACTCGGAAGCCTGTGTCCCCACTGCACTTAACAGAGGGGGGCCATGCAGGACCAAGGTGCAGGGGATCTTTTATCCTCACTTCCTGTGCTGTACCAGTCATGCTCCAGACTGGATGGCACCAACCCAACAGGGCGATTGGGGAGGGGGGCTGAGCGTGAAGGGGGCTCTGGTCACCATTTTTCAGCCTCTTTTACACTGTCCAGTTTGCTCTTCTCCTTGGTGTGTGGGACAGCAGGACGAGATTGGTAATCCTATCAGCATCCTTCTGGAACAGCCTAGTGACCTATGGCTCACATGAACCTTCTCAGTGGCCTACCAGAAAGGGCCCACTGATGTTCTCCCTCCTTCTCTTCCTACTTCTCCTGAACATCCTTTCCCTCCTTTACCTGTTTTTTTTTTTGAAAAGGGTGATAAATGTAAAATTTATTGAGTTTCACAAATGTTAAACTATTATAAGATTCTCATCCAGAAGAATTGATATTCATATTCAACAAAATAAGAGTATCTTGCTGTTTATGATTGCCATATTGAAAAAACAAACCATCATAATATATATATATATATATATATATTTCTTATTCATAATACTTTTATTCATACTTAGTGAAATCATTAGAAAGATCACTGTTATGTACTAATAACTTTCATAATTTAAACCTGATAAAATATGATTTTTTAATATTTTTAAAAAAAATAAATGACAGCAGAATGCATTACAATTCTTATTATACATATACAGCACAATTTTTCATATCTCTGGTTGTACGATTCGTGTCTTCATACCTGTTCCTTTACCTGTTGAGAGGAACTCCACGTACTGTTCACCAGGCCCAGCACCAGTGTCACCATCCTCTAAGGAGACTGCCTTCCTCCTCCTTCCTCCCCCTGCCCAGGAACGATCACTGCTTCCTTCTCCTTTGCCCCCACGAAACCTAGTCACGTGCCTAGGGTAACACTTTCCACCATCGCTCACTCTGGGTGGCATTGGGGAACTTGTGGAGGGCCTGGTTCCAGTTAGCACCCAAGAGCCTAGCACAGGACCTGGTGTGCAATGCTTGCCCAATGTCTGCTGAACAGGTGAAGGGCTAAATAATTAAATAATGCCATTTGTGCCCTCCCACAAATAGTGAAAGGTGTTTATAAACTCCATAAATATTTGAAATTGCTTTCCTCTTTATGGTTATGATACTTGATGAGAATACATTCTAAATGTATCTAAAAAAATCTTTTTTATGTCTCTGGGATATATGTGTGTGTATGTGTGTGTGTGTGTGTGTGTGTGAATATATAAATTATACACACACACACACATACATACATTTTTTTATTGTTGTTGTTAAAGGTGATACATTTTGGAGAAGAAGCCATGTTTTTTAAAAAATAAAATTTTATAAAGCAATGGTTTGTTAAAATATGTTCAGCAGAATACCAGTCCCATAGTGTGGTAATAGTTGTTAAAGATAAAATGGTCTCAGGGCTGAAGGAAGTTCAGGGAGGGCTGGGTTAATCAGTTTCTCTACTGTGGGATGTCTCAAAGCTCTCATATAATATTACTTAGGAATATAAGCGAGAAGGATGTGCACACAACAGGGTATTTCTGCAGCGCTACCTTAACATCTACTACAGTGCAAAGTGCAGAGCAAGATTTGGGGGTTTTGTTGTTGATGGTAGTCCACTGCTTTGATCTGGACCCCTGAGAAGCAAGTGAGTGTTTGCATGATTTGATTTCTCTCCTCCTCTTCATGCATTCCCCCTCTGCTTTCAAGGCTGAAGAGAAAAAAAAAATTAAGGGAATTAAAACATTACTTTACCTGTCATAGCAAGTTATCCGACATCTCCAGTGGACTATGCAGCAAATGATTGTGGTTTTGGAAATAGCCTGTCAGCCCCAGCAGCTCTGCAGTAACCTTCCAGGACTATTCCATAAATGCCAGTTCTCTGCACAGTAATTACCAACTCTCTCCATGGTAGATTCACTGGTGTGTCTAGGAGTAATTGCTGGGGAACTCACACTTTCAAATTTACAAGAGTCAAACAACCTTGTATTTACCTCGGGGGTTATCAGGTATTCAAACTGTGCTGCATAAAGGATGCTATTGATCATAGAACTAGGGGAAGAACTCGAATTTGCACCTCAGTATTTTTCTCAATGGGTGAGAACCTGGCTTACTAGATTTACGGTGGAAAGACTGATGTGGGATAATTTTCTTCTGAGAATCCCTCCCTTCCTTGAGCTTTGTGAGCAGCAGCGAGTCCAGCCTAACCGTAGTCGGAGCCTTATGTTGCCTTCGGACAGAACTGGCTGGTTGGTACAGTGTCGAGGAAGAAGATGAAAACCTTGCTCAGATTCTTACTCCTGCCTTTGGTGTTCCTTCTCTAGAGATCTCAGGGAACACGGAGGACATCCCCCTAGTACGCTGGAGGCAGCAGTGGCTGGAGAATGGCACTTTGCTCTTTCACATCCATCACCAAGATGGTGCCCCGAGTCTTCCTGGGCAGGACCCGACGGAAGAGCCCCAGCATGAATCAGCCGAAGAGGAACTGAGGATCCTGCACATCTCAGTCATGGTAAGGAAAGACGGCCATAAACGTGTGAGGTGGCTTTTTATTGTCCTAATCAAATATCTCAGAAGACTACATGGGAGGAAAAAGGTTTTAGCCTACAGTTCTGGGGTTCAAGGACATGGCGTCTGCACCACCTGAGCTCGGGTGAGGGCCGTCTCTGCCGCAGTACACCACAGCAGATGGCAACAGCAGGAGCGCATGTGGGAAACAGAAATAACATCACCAAACAGGAAGCCAGAGAGGCTGGGGTCCCGCAGCCCCTTCCAAAGGGATGGCCCTATTTGACAAGCAGCTCCCACTAGGCCCCAGCTCTTAACGGCTCCCCACCAATTCCCGATACCACTGTTCGGGGAGCAAGCTTCCAAGACCTGAATCTTTGAGAGATGAAAAGATCCAAACCACAGCCATAGACATAGCTCTGTGAGACCCAACCCCGTAATGATCACTGATCATGGTAAAAGTGCCCTCCCCATTTGTGGGAAATGCAGCCCCTCCTGCTGCTAGTAACTGTTGCAGGTATTTGTACAGCACAGTTCCCCAACCACTCTAAGACCACATCCAGATATGGAGTAGCCCTTATAAACCAGGGACAATGTCAAGTGGGACAATGGGTTGCCTTAGAAGGGAATTATTCAACTCGTACATCACCATATTTTAGAGTTGCTGCTCCATAAATGTTTATTGAGTGACTCAATCTCTAGCTGCTTGCTGCTACCAAGTCCTCTTTTCTTTTATCCCAGCTGGGAGAAATCAGCATCCTGGCTTTTTCTACTCTTTACAAATAAAGGGCATGTCAATAGATACTTGCTCCCCACTCTGGCCCAGCTAAAAACTACCACCAGCTTCTATGTAGAAATGTGAGGCATCAAGAAAATTAGAGATGCTTCCTAAAATTCTAGGAACTTGTGTCCTCTAATCTCACTAGAGAGTAAGTGCAATGGCAGGTCTCTCAGGGGAGGGTGTCTGGTGGTGTTTTATTTATTGATGAATCCCCAGTAACTAGAACAGTGCATTTATATAGTTAATGCTTAATCAACAATTGTGGAATAAATGACTTAAATTTCCAATGGAGATAGAAAATCCTGTTTCACCAGGCATTTCATATATTGTTATTGTACTGATAAACCGATACATTGTCTGCTCATAGGGTAGCCTGATAGCAGATTGAGACTTGACTGATTATCTATTAGTGTGGGAGGGTATGGGATATTTTACTGTTAATAACTTGATACAGAGTCACCTTGGTCCATGGTCTAACTTTAATTCACCCATTGCTCTGGTACCATCACTATATACTGTTTAGTTCGATATAAATGAAACTGAGCACATTTTAGATATATACAAATCTCCATTACCTAAAAATTGAGGATGGAAAATTTCCCCATAAAAATCTCTGATAAAAATCTCAGCATGTAAGCTCCTCATTTTTTTTCTTCAGTCAGCACCCCCATAAATAACTGGTGCACAGGATACTTGCACGTATGCAAGGTACTTTGTGGTGCAGAAAAGAGAGTCCTTGAACAGCAAATGGTAAACCTCAATGTCTAGGTAAGGCCAGAGGCAGCAGGTGAAGGAGGCTGCCAGACCTCATATGGACAGAGTAATTGAGGTGCATGCATAGGAGGTACAATTTCTACGTGTCCTTAATCAAATCCCAATGTCCTCTCTCTCAGGGAAGGTTCTTCATCAGTGCGGCTTCTAGTTTCCAGAGAGAAATGAGATCAGCTGAACCAGCGCAAGGATGGGATTGTCTTCATGATAATTTGATTGAAAAGAAGGCTGCACAGGTGGACTTTCCACCAGCCACCCCTCCATGTGGGAAGCAGTGGTGGTCATGAGTAGCTCTGGTTTCTTTTCTTTTCTGTGTGTCTTTTTTTTCCCCAAGCCATAAAAAGCATATAGGGTAAAGAAAAGTTTACAGAGAGTTCCAAGGAAGAATATCAGATTGCCTACGTCTGATAGAAAGACCGTGATCTCTAGAACTTGAGACGGGCAATTTGTCAGTTGGTGAGGCTGGTGAGGCTGGAGTGTTGTGTGAAACTTCCAAAGACAGTCTGAAGCTTGCCCTGGTGGCTGCTCCATGGCTTCAGTACTGCAAGGACTTCCATCCTCAGGATAAGGTGCTCCAGAAAGTTCTCCAGATAGGTGTGTGTGTGTGGGCACACACGTTTGTGAGGGTGGGAGGCTTTGAAAACAGAAATGTGCTGACTGAGGATCCCAAAGGGTTTTTATTAGGAAATTGTCTGCACTGTTAAAATATGACAACCCTATGAGAAGCCCTACATTACTAATGCTTTTTTTATGCTATCCTCTGGGCAGGAATTAATGGACAGTGGACCTGAAATTGAGAGTGAAGAAGAGTCAGCCTTAACCCTATCAGATCTTTCCTTTGTGTGCTATCAGTCCCCCAGGGCAGACCACCAATGATCCTGTCTTTTCCAAATAAAGTAGAAGATAACCATCTTTCAGCTTTATTTCAGTTTTTTTTTTTTTTTCTAGGTAATTTTCCACCAGACCAGAGGAGGCAGAGGTTAAAAGGGCACAGGCAAAAGGTGATGGGGGAACTCTGGTGTTGTCTCTGGCCCAGCCTCTTGGATGTGGACAGGCCAGCATGTCCATGAAAGATTCAGGAAGGTCTTTGACCTCCGCAGGAGAACAGAGACCTTGGGGCGAGCTGAAGATGTAAACCCATGTGTGTCCAGAGTGTTGGGTCAATGGAGCATCCTGCAGCCAACCCTGCTGCATTCCCATTCCACACCACACACCCTTGCAGGCTGCCTCTCCAATCCTTAGGATTCTGTTGTAGAAACAGTTTCAAAGCCTGAAGCCTGAGGGTATCCTTTTTGAAGATGTTGTTCCTGGGGTCTCTGGTGGCTTCTTCATAAGAGACTGGGGATTGGTAGACTTCATTTGATTCACTTTATACCATATCTTTTGGAGGAAAAGTAGGCATCTGGAATGGCAGCATTTTAAAAGCCAGAAAGTAGTGAAATCCTTTGACTAGCAACAGTGTTGGGTAGTGAAACAAACCTAAGTGAGATTGTATCACCTCAGTCCTCTTAGTTATGAAATAATTGCAGCAGGGCTCTTTTTCATTAACTGTAATGATCAATATTGACAGTTTTCAGATGGGTTTGAAGTCACATAGTTTGTAAAAGAGATGAGTTGAGGTTATCCTCCAAACATGAGTATGTCCAACCTTTACTCCCTTGCTGAAAAAAAAAAAATGTATATTTAAAAGCTTCACTGATAATCCTAAATACTTCCGATATTTTGTTCAGAGGGAATGGTGAGTCTGTGAAACCCTTCAGGTTTGCTTTTCTCTCGTTTTGTATTTACACTGATCTCATCTACATCCTCTTAATCCAAGGTCCACTGTTTATTTTCATAATTTGCATTTACTATGTTTTTGTTTTAAACACAAATACAAGCAATGATAGAGTGGGAAATACAAGTAAACCTTTTTCTGTATCCTTAAACTCTGTATGAATGAGTATTTGCAAGTCCTCTTTATACTGTGCCCAGGATAAATCTGTCATCAGCAAAATTGAGGGCTTGCAGAAAAGCAATACCCCAGCTGGGAGTTTGGCAATTTAAAACTTTGAAAAAGCTTTTGCTTTTTTTTATTTTTCAATCACATTCTAAAATTTTTGAATTATTTTTTTCCAAAGAGGCACCATTTTTTTTCCTTGTGTAGAATAATTGGATTTCCCTCCTGAAATAATCTTATATTATTGCTTTGAGGGTCAAATGATGTATTTTAACCTCCTGCATGATTCAAACTTGGCTGAAGAGATTTATTTCAAATTTTGCAAGGTAATTGACATTTAGAACCATGAAAGTACATAAAGATACTCTTTTGCAAACTCTTGAACAAGTGAAGCAGAATTGATAAATTAAAGCTGAGTGGGAGTTTAAACCCAAAGTCAAGAAATTCTTTAGTGATAAGGCAAATTATTTACTCCACAGAAAACTAGATTTTAATATTACTGTACATCAGATATTCACTATTTGTGGATTTAAATTTCTATATTGTACTTCTGCTAATTTATGGTGTACATTTTTCTTCTTAAAGCTTGTAAAAGAATTTGAAGGTGCCTAATAGAATGTCAATATTATCTGTTTATTTCATCTTTGTCATTAAAGATAGCAGTATTAATATATTTCTTACATGCATATAGGCTGATTGAATACATTTTTCACAGCAAGCACCCTTTTGAAAATGCTTCAGTTTTATTCCTGTCTGTCTGTCTGCTTGACTCTCTATTTTTTATTGGGATGACTCCCACTGGTAGAGAATGTCTTTTATAGTTAGCCTTCTTAGGCACAATTCACAATTGTGGGGGGTAGGGGAAGTATCTTTGAACATCTGTGTGTCCCCATGAGCATTTTGTGAATGAAACCCATCAATCAAGCCTGGGTGCTGCTCAGGACCATTAGCCCAGATGTGTCAAGGCCACTGGTCAGTACCTGCAGGCTCCCATGCCTTTTGGCTACTACCTGCCACCAGAGGCCTTCACCTGTCCCCAGGCTCCCTGGTCCTGGGAACTCCAGGTAAGCTCAAGGTCAGAGTTCTCCCTTGAGAGAAACAATGCAAAGAACAAAGTTTGGGGACAAAAGAGGCTGCAGGTGTTATCATAGTGTCCCGGAGTCCAGCAAGTAGAACGGGCAGTTAGGGAAGTTCCATTCTAGAAAACTAATATTTGGGGCCTTCGAGAACACCCCTGTGGGGACCTTTGAGGTCTAATGATGACATTGTGCCAAAGTGCCCATCCTTGTCCTTATGTTTGCATTCATCAGAGCAGCTGCCCGAGTGTCACATGCTACTTTGCCAGGCGCTGTTTCTTGACTCATAGAGCATGGCACTTCCAGGGTGGAGAGGAGCAGTCCCCAGCAAGGTGATCACTGTATGCCATCGGGACCATCAGATATTTATTAAGTGTCTATGGGAAGAGAGAGAGAGAGAGAGAGAGAGAGAGAGAGAGAGAGAGAGAGAGAGAGAG